ACATAGATATTCTATTACATAATTTATACTATTGTAAATTAGTTACATTTTCTATTATGTAAATACTCATAGACCCATCTGTATATATATATATCCCTTTTATCAATAATAAAGAGCAAGTCATTTTTCCAGAGTTCAATTTCATGGTATCCTGAGCCAGTACCAAGCCTGTTTTTGTCTTTTCTGATTACACTTTTCTCTTTCTGTTCTTTCTCGGGTTCTCCGCTTCTTGACTTTTCCGCCATCGTTCTTCCCAAGCTCCGTTCATGGCGTCCGACTCTGATTCTTCCTCTGACTCGTCAAGCCCCTTCTACATTCACCTGAATGAAAATTCAGCTCTCATTCTCGTCTCTCCTCCACTTGATGCTCGAATTATCACAGATGGGCCCGTGTCATGAAAATGGCTTTACTATCAAAGAATAAGTTGAAATTTGTTGACGGATCGATTACTCATCCCATGGCATTTGGTAAACTCTTTCCGGCATGGGAACACTGCAACAACCTTGTTCAAGGGTGGCTAACAAAGTCCCTTTCTCCCACGATTGCTAGGAGCACTCTTTGGTTTGACACAGCTGCTGAGATCTAGACTGATTTGAAGTCTGGATACTCTTAATCCAACATTTTCCAAGTTGCAGAGCTTTAGGAAGAAATTTTCAATCTCAAACAAGGCAACCTTACCGTAAGTGAATACTATACTTGCCTAAAAACTCTCCGGGATGAATTATCTAATATTTGGCTGATTGAGTCCTACACTTGTGGCTCAGGCAACAATGCTAAAACTCACCGGGACCAGGATTATATAATCTGATTTTTAAAAGGACTCAATGAGCAATACAGTAGCGTCAAATCACAGATTTTGCTTCTCGATCCACTTCCCCCCATCAATTGAGTATTCTCCTTAGTTCTTTAGCAAGAACGAGAAATTCCCTCTGTATTGATTCTTGTTGACTCAAAGATTTTGCTAGCCAAAGCTCCACACCGACTTCCAATTAAGTCTACTAGTGGATCTTCAAAAAAGTGCTCCTTTTGTAGGAAACCAAGACATATAGAAGAGACATGTTATAGGAAACATGGTTTTCCTCTAGGCTTCAAGTTCTGATCTAGTTCTCCTGCTAAGGTAAATAATTTTTCATCTCAAGATTCTGGTAGTGTTCAAGATATTCATACTGCTAAGCTTCCCTTGGTCCTTACTCCTTCTACTGCTTCTGTTTTACTGCAATTGTCTTCAGACCAATATCAACGTCTTCTTGCTCTGCTTGCTTTGCCCTAGACTCCTTCTGTCAACCATCTTTCTGCCTCTTCTCTTCCTCCAACCATAGGTAAATGCAATTCTTTTTCATCTACATCTATAGTTACTTGGATCATTGATTCAGGTGCAACTGATCATGTTTGCTATTCATTAGAGATGTCTGCTTCTTATAGTTCCATCTCCTGTTCAAGTTAGTTTACCGACTGGTTCCTACGCAACTTTTGCCATTTCTAGCACTGTTCCCATATCTTCTTCTATGGTTTTACATAATGTTCTTTTTCTCCCTAATTTTTCCTTTTAACATACTCTCTGTTTCTCGATTGACTGTTGTCATTAACTGTTTCTTCCTCTTTTCATCTTCTTGGTGTTAGATAATCTTACTCAATCCTTTTCTGATGATTGGTTCAGCTAAACATTTTGAAGGGCTATATTTGCTCCATGCAGACATGTCTCGCTCTCGTACTCACTCTCAGATTTCTACGACCACTACTTCTTCCACCTCAGCTAATACTCTTTAGCATTTACGTTTGGGACATCTTTCTCATTATGCTCTTTCTATATTGTACAAATAGTACAATGATATTTCTTGTATTTCCCATCCCCTTATCTATGACACTTGTTATTTTGCAACGCAAAAACGTCTATCCTTCCCTGTAAGCACGAGCTCCACTAATAAAATTTTTGATTTAGTTCATGTTAATATTTGGGGTCCATTTTTTGCTCCTTCGACTAAAGGTTATAAATACTTTCTTATCATTGTTGATTATTTCTCTAGGTATACATGGTTATTTTTAATGAAAACAAAATCTGAGACTCATAATCATCTCATTAGTTTCTTTGCGCTAGTTCAAAATCAATTTTCCCCCTCCATTAAAATCATTCGTTCTGATAATGGTGCTGAATTTTGGATGATTGACTTTTATCAATCAAAAGGTTTTATTCATCAAACCTCCTGTGTTAACACACCCCAACAAAATGTTATTGTTGAAAGAAAACACCAATCCATCTTAAATGTTGCTAGAGCTTTAGTTTTTCAATCTAGTATTCCTTTGCCTTACTGGTCTTTTGCTGTCTTACATGCCACTTACCTCATTAATAGATTACCTTCTCCTATCCTCCAAAATCTCATGCCTTTTGACAAACTTTTTCATACACCACCTTCTTACTCTCATCTCAAAGTTTTTGGTTCTCTCTGTTTTGCTTCTACTTTAACTCATAACTGTTTAAAATTTGACCCTAAAGCAACGAAGTGTGTCTTTCTTGGTTTTCCATACACTTTCCAAGGATTTTATCTTACTTGATTTACAGACTAATCAAATTTTCCAATCCAGAGATGTTTTTCATGAGCTTGTGTTTCCTTTTAAAACTGATTCCACCCTATCTTCTCTTTCCCTACCTATATTACCCTATGTTCAACCTTCTTCATCTTTCCTAGATGATGATTCTATGTCTCCTTCTCTAGCTACTGCTAGTATATCTTCCTCTGAACCACTTTCACAGCCTACTTCACCTTCCCCTTCTTCCTTTTCACCAACCTTTTTCTCCAACTCCCTCTCCGGATCTTTCATCTCCTACTTCCCATCCAAGTTGCTGCTCCACTCATTCTCATCACCCACCTACATATTTGTATGATTACCATTGTGCCCTTATTTCTACCACTAATCAGTCATCAGGAATTGCACACATTTGTTACTCTTTATCTTTTGTTTTATCCTATTCCTCTCTTGTTCCTGTTTATAAACAGTTTGTCTTAGCTGTCTCCACCATACCTAATCCAAAAACCTATCACCAAGCAGAAAACTTTTCTTAGTGGCGGGATGTAATGAATACAGAAATCCAAGTACTTGAACAGAACCAAACTTGGGTTCTTACATCTTTACCACCCGACAAGAAATCAATTGGATGTAAATGGGTTTTCAAAACAAAATATAAAGCCAATGGTGATATAGAGAGATATAAGACTCGCCTTGTAGCAAAAGGCTATATACAAACTGAGAGTCTTGATTATTTTGATACTTTTTTCCCAATAGCAAAGATGACTACTTTGAGAATGCTACTGTCCATTACTGCTGCTAAGAAATGGTTTCTTTACCAACTCGATGTTAATAATGCCTTCCTCTATGGTGATCTACATGAGGAAGTGTATATGGATCTTCCATAGGGCTTTTCGGCTCCTAGACTTGACATGGTTTGCAAACTAGAAAAATCATTATATGGTCTCAAGCAAGCAAGCAGGCAGTAGTACTCCAAACTTTCTTCTACCCTATTGTCTTATGGACATCAACAATCTTCCTTTGATCATTCCCTGTTTTACAAAACTGCTACTAATTCTTCTTTTACAGTCATTCTCATATATGTTGATGATCTTATCTTAGCTGGCAATGATATGAATAAAATCAACTCTATTATGTTGAAGCTGGAACAGACTTTCACCATTAAATACCTTAGAGAACTTCAGTATTTCCTTGGTCTTGAGCTAGCACGTTCCAAAGAGGGTATTTTTCTTTCTCAAAGAAAGTTTTCCCTGGAACTTCTCCAATCTGGCCTCCAAACCCACTTCCATACCTATAGATCCTCATTTCAAGTTATCCAAAGACAAATGAATGCCATTAGAAAGTCCTCAACTATACAAGAAACTCATTGGGCGCTTGCAATACCTTACAACAACACGTCCATACCTTAGTTTTGTCACTTAACAGCTCAGCCAATACATGTCTGATCAAAGAGACACCCACCTTCAAGCTGCACATAGAGTCCTCTATTATATCAAGGCTTCTCCTGGTGCAAGATTTCCTTTCTTCAGCCTCTGATTTAAAACTCAAAGGCTTCAGTGATTCTGATTGGGCAAGTTGCATGGACTCTAGATGATCAGTAGCTGGTTTTGCCATATTTCTTGGCTCATCTCTTATCTCCTGGAAAGCCAAAAAGCAGGCCACGATGTCTCATTCTTCCTCTGAAGCAAAATATCGTGCTTTGGCCTCCACCACATGTGAAATCCAGTGGTTACTCTATCTTTTGAATGATTTTGATGTTGCTTATTTAGTTGCTGCCCTTTTATACTATGACAACTAGTCTGCTCTTCAAATTGCAGCTAATCCTACCTTCTATGAGCGAACAAAGCACATTGAACTTGACTGTCATCTAGTCAAGGAAAAACTACAAGCCAAAATCATTCACCTTCTACCAGTCAAGTTTATAGTGCTGGGATTTAAAAAATTTAATTTTAGATAAGCTAAACTGTAAATAAGCCAACCCTACTGAGTTGGATAATTCTTCTTGTTGCAAACCATAAAACATGCAAAGTGGTGTTAGTGGTATGAGATGGTTGTTATGCTTCATTATAGGTGATTTGGTGCCAGTGCTCTCACTCCCATTATATAAACTTTCTTCCCTGCACATTATCAAAAAACAAAAAACAAAATACAGCCCACTGTCTGCCACCTTCCTACAAGTTCTGTGCCTTTTATATGTGATCATTGGTATCTTATCAACTTATAACTGTTAGTAACACTGTTAGTTCGTCACTTAGCACTAGAATACCAGTTGACCTTTCGCCATGCACCATGCTAATAATATCTTGAGCAGTTTATCTAATATGTTCCCTTTGATTTTTCCTCTCCCTCAGTGGGTTGTTAGAATTTTCGTTTTCGTGACACTTCAGATATAGTTTTCTAGGTAGTTGTCTCTTTTGCAGTATACTGATAATTCCCAGAATTCTGATTAGTTTTGGTTATCTATAGAATATAAGAAGATGGCGGGGGCATTGAATCATGATTTTCTCCTTCCTGTTAGGATCCTGTATTGTGAGGAAAGAAGGGAGAATCGTGTGTGTGATAAATTAAGAGCATTATTCTCCTACAGTGATTTGTAATGCAGCATGAAGGGGCAAGGTTATAATTTGAAAGCATACTGATTTGTAATGATTTTTATGTAGTGATCATTATACTAATACTTCATAGGATTATGTCAGCCCGAGCAATTATTATGGAATTAGAGCCAAATATTATACAGGTTAACACGTGTTTTGGTAGAAAAGATTAAAGGGTAGGAATGTCCACATTCCACAAGATATATACTGGTCTTTTTTAATATTTTTCTAAAAATTAATGCATCATCTTTCATCTTATGAATTTGTATGGTCGATATGACCGGTAAATGGAGTTATTTATATATGTTCCTAGTCCTGTGGAGATTCCCCCCCCCCCCGGGGGGGGGGGGGGAAAAGCATCTGTCATTGGATACAAGCGCACTACAAGACCATGATATTTACTAAATTATTTTGTTTCCTTCATCTATTTGAGTCTATTATCTATGGCCATATGAGTATTTTTTATATTGCAGATATCTAAAATTACGGAAGAAGGCTGTACTGTTTTCCCACCGTTCTCACTGAAAACATACTGGGACTTCGCCGCATTCAGGAACCCAACGGCCGGTGCTCCAGGTTCATGGTAGTTGGGTTGTCATCCTTCATTACTTAAATAGATCTTTCCAACAAGTATTGTGTTACATTAAGTAGACATGAAATGACCAATCTGGAATATAATTGGATTGATGTGTTTGTGCTTTTACTTGAATTCATGTAGCTGTTGATTTCATCTTAAAAAAGGATATAACCCTAGCTAAACTAGCCAGAAGGATCAATACAAAAACCATGGCCGGAGTTTAATTATGGTTTACTGCTTAATTGTGGGTAATTTAGCCGTAGTTTCTTTATCTAAAGCATAATAAACGGTTTATTTACATTGCTAAGGTCGAGGTTGAGTTCGAGTTTGAGTGTGTGCCTTGAACCAGATCTTCGGGTAATCTATAAGCTCTTGGCCAGCTCCATCTCCAGCATGGATGCCTCCTAGCTCTGTGCTGGGGATTCTACTCAGTCCTCCACCAATATCTCCCTCCTTTACTTCTGTTCTTATGATAACACCTCTTATTGATCTGATCAAATTGCGGAAGCTCAGGTCTCTTCTAATTCCTTAGAAGCGTGAAAAAAGCCCTTTGCATCCAGGGCTCATCAAAGCCCTGAGTACTTACTCCCTTCTGTCTTGAATGTGGCAATTAAATAACTAAATCACATGCATTAAAAAAAGTAGTTTAGTTATATGTAAAAAAAAGTGTTGGTTACCTTAAAAGTATCTTTTTTAATCATGCATTTGGTGGTACTCGTTTAGTATGTTCAATTAATACTGAGAGTTCATGAAAAAATTATAAGTTGAGAGATAAAATGAATTAAAATTTTATATTTAATACTATTTCCAGTCTTAATTATAAGACTTTGTTTGTAGTCTACAAACAAGATTTTATAGTTAGGACGGATAATTAGGATGAGACGTAGTATCAAAATAAATTTTTTAACTAACTTAATATTTAACAGTGAAGGGAGGATTTGGTATTACTGTACGGGTGATATTCATACACTGTCAATTTTAAGATTGTCACGCCCAATAAGGTTTACTTTTTCCGCGCGCGCGCGCGTGTTTTTTTTTTTTTTTTTTATCGAATATGTTTTTAGCTTCATCCAATTGGCTGTCATTTTTAATTTTATTTACATCCTTGGTTTTTTTTCCTGTTTAATTTGCAACGTTCCCCAGTTAATAGACATTTGCAAATTGTTGTCAGACTTTTATATAACGTCTCTCAAGTGCACATCAGGTAAAATTTCGGCCTTAACTATTTTATAACGGCTAAATTAAAATACTAGTGAGAAATGAAAATTTGAAAATAGAATTTTTTTTTTTGAAAGATGAAAACAAACACTATTTTGTATTTAAAATATATTTATCAAAATTCATACAAGTGTGCGGAACATGTCTAGTAGTCTTGAAATGTATGATGGCCATTGCGGGGGTACAAATTCAAACAAAGATATTTGTAATATATATTTTTAATTCATAGGCCTCTCAATCAATAATTATTCCCAAATAAACCGTAAAATTTTTCTGAAAGAAATTAAGATATAAATTATCTCCAATTTAAAATTACACTCTCAACGAATACTTGAAAATAATAATTCTGAAAAATAAGTCATGTCTGGCACGGGCACAAATATTACATGGTAAAATATTATCTAGCGCACTAGTGTTATATTTCAGCGGCATTTGACACCTTCATTTTATCATGGTGCATTTAATACTCCTGATTTTATTATTTAGTTACATCTAACATTCTAATTTTATTTATGATTTAGGATGTTTGATGCACTATAAATAATATTAGTGTGATAAAAGTATTATAAAAAATGACATCAAAGTGTTAAATACATCATAAAAAAAGTTAGATGCATCTTGCTAGATGCAATTGGCAAATAAAATGATTCTTGCTTGTGCTAAATTTCAAGCCTTCTTCCCATGGTGTCCCAAAACAGGGAGGTAATGAGTAAAGTAAAAAAGGGAAAAAGAAGCATCTCAAAGGACAGAGAAAGCATAAGGCCAGCCAGCAATACCAAGAAAAGAATGGACATAACTCCATTAACAAGCAAAGCTTTTATAAAAAGCCTACATCTTTCCTAAACCCTCCCATGTGCCAAAAGTACATCCAACAACACAAAAGAGCACTCAAATCCCATCTCTTTTTTTTTTTTAATCTCTCTCTCTCTCTCTCTCAATTTTCACCTTCTTTTATCTTCCTTCTTATCTCTAGGTTCCTTCTTCCAGCTCTGCAAATCCTGCTCTCGCAGGTCATGATCTAACTTTGTATATTCAGCTAGCATGAGCTTTTTCATTAGATATATATATATATATAATGATTTTGAGAACTATCCATAAATATAATAACTTTATTATGCAAAGAAGGGTATGAGTTGAGAATTAGTACATAGCAAAGTGAGAGTATAAGAGAAAATGTGATATTATTTTTTATGATGAAAAGGAACAAAATTTAGGTTGTCAAAATTTTTCGCTGCATCCAACAATTTGGTACTAATTTCTATTATTAATTTGTGTATGTTTCCCATTATAAAATAAAAAATAAAAAGTGAAGATATTTAACTAAAAAGGTATTTAGTTACCATTAAAGGACATTTAGTCCTCATTTAAATTTTTTTTAATCCTAAAATGAGATTAATTTTCCTTTTTGGTGCTCAAATGTTATTCCTCATAATTTAATATCCCAAAATGGTCCTTCTAAATAGCTTAATTCCTATGAAATCCTTAGGAACTATTCTAGAAATAATTTTTTGTGGAATGACCTAAATGCCCTTAGTAAAATTAATTGGTGCTACCTTAATTATTGTCTCATCAGTTGCTAAGTTAAAATTGTTACTCATAAAACTCTTGTTGTCATTAGTATTCACCAAGAAATTTCATTGAAATAAGTTATCACTGCCTTAATCGTTGTTATCAGTGGTTCCTTGTTAAATTATTTTATCATTCCAAATTGAAGATATTTAGGTAATTTTACTGCAAAATTTAGTCTCATGCTAGTTCTTGAAGACTTACTGTAATAAGGCCATTTCGGGATCCTGAATTAGGATGAGTAAATTTGAAGGGATTCTGTGTCTTTCTCAGTGTCCCCCATAATTTTATATCCTTTAAAGTTTCATAAACAAAAAAAGTAAGCTTGTATGTGGATTTTCATATGATATGAAAAAGTTAACGGTTGTTTTAATCAACCTTTCGAAATGTGACAATAATTGAGAATGTACCCTATATTTTAATGAAGCTATCCACAATTTCTATTTAAGCACTATTCATAACAAAAACTTTCCTGGACTTGCAAAGTGGTGATGGGTTTCACAGGCGAATTGGTAAAGAGTGTTTTCTCCAGAAGCCGATCCACTCATCATCATGAAACCAAAGTGAGTCTTTCTCTCTCTTTTATGCATCAAACAGTTATATTTCCTCACAATTCTGACTCAAAAACTGAGTTCTTCCTAATGCTGATAGGCGAGAAGCAATAATAATGGTGTGGAGAAGAGGAGATGGGTGTCTGTAAAATCGTACTTGTGTGGTGATGAGCTCGATTCGGTGCTCGCCGAGGAGGATTCGGCGTCGGTTAAGAGCTCGGAGGAAACGGTTTCACAGCCTATACATGAGAAGGATTTGTCAGCAGGAAGAGAAGAGACTAAAAGTGAAGAAACTTGTGTGGAGAATAATGTGACTGAGAGTGAAAGGAAAAAACCCGACTCCAAATTGTTGAATGAAGAAGAAGCAGCTATTCTGATTCAGTCTGCATATAGAGCCTTTCTGGTTAGCAAACAACACTTAACAATAACATTACTTGACATATTCAAAAGATATGCTCAGAGTAAATGTGTGGAAATTGCTTGATAGAAAAGGAATTTTACTGCTTGGGCATGAAGAATTCATGTATTGCCCGATCCCCGATCACAAATATCGGAGTTAGATACTAATTTATAGAGATCAATAAAATTATTAAATTAGGTATTAGTAAAAAAAAAACAAATGGTTTTTTAAGGCATTTCCTTCGATCATTTGTACTGAAAATTATTTTTTATTTATGAAAAACTCATTTAATATATGCAATCAACAGGAAGAATTTAGAAAAAAAAATTATAGGTTTAGAAAATAAAGTATATTGAAATTTTATATTTATAATTAAAGCAAATTTTTCTACCATCTCTTATTTTAGGATCGAAGAGAGCAGTTGATTAACATTACTTGTATGTTTGTTGCATATTTCAGAGGAGGCGCCAAAATGAAGGAATGAGAGAGAAAAGTGAAGAGGAGGAAGAGGAGGAGATGATGAGTTTGGTGATAGGAAGTCCAAATGGGAAGTCAATGGGGACATCAATTGAAGTTCAAACTGGGAATTCCATTGAAGTTTATCCATTTGAAGCAGAAAAAGGAACTGTTTACCATAACAGATCTCAGCACAGATCCAGATCCCAAGTGTTAAAGCAAAAGGTACCATATAATATAATATAAAGCATTATTCCCAATTTCTTTTAAAAATAAAACTCTATTGCAGCTAAGCACGCACGTATACTAACATATGGAAGCACTCATTTTAACTTGTACGGTGTTGCAACATCTGGTTTTTTTTTTTTTTGGATCTCCAACGCTGTCTCTTTTGTAACTTTTGTTTTTTTGAGTAACTACATCCCATTATTTCCAAATAAATAAATAAAGCTTTGTCAGAGTATTGATTGTATCTGATACTCATATGCCATGTTAGGCAGCACTTAGGAAAAACTATGATAGTAATTTCATTTCTTAGTATAAAAACTAGTTATGAGTTAAATTTGATTTTAAATATAAGACTTAGATTAATTTTGTCTCCTAATGACAATGTTAGGCAGCATTTTATAATTTTTTTTCCTGAAATATTGGAATTGATTGTAGGTGTTCTCATTAAGAGATAATGACAATGTGCATGATAAAAGAGGATAGTATAGGAAAAACAACACACATTTATTATAAATAATCAACTCAAATAATTTTCTTAACCTTCTCAAATTTGTCATTTAATTCTTATATTAAGGATCAGAGGTAATATTTTGTACTAGTTGTTGTGAGGAGGAGAGGATAGAAAGTGTGACCAATGACATTTTCATAAATAAGTTGGGCGACAGTAGGCTATCCTGGTCTATCAGCAACTAGAGTAGAAAAAGTCGGTATAAAAAGTTTTATATACAGACTATATCCACACAAGTCATGGGATTAGCTTAGAATTTTTATTTTAACCACAATAAAAATGGGTTTTTGCACTTGGTATGTAAAGTCCAAAACGTTCAACAATGTGGGATTATCCCCTAGTTACAGAACCAAAATTGGGCCTTGGGCCTCTTACTCCACCCTCATCATGGAGAGCCTTGGGCCTGCTTCTTTAAGTCTCTGTCTTGCTGGCCTTGTGAATAATCATTGGGCCTATTTCTTGTATAGACTCGGCCCATAAATTGGTTGGGCTCATATCTCTTTCAGGAAGATTGGGATGACAGCACTGTGAGTAGCTATGTTTCAAAAATGAGGATGCAGAACAGAATGGAAGCAACAACCAGGAGAGAGAGAGCACTGGCCTATGCGTTCTCACAACAAGTACAACTTACACAATTTTATCCTGATATTATTCAACTCATTCAACTTCATTCTTAGAATTCTTTTTTGGTGGGTAAAATGTTAATTCTTAAATATTAGTGAGTTAATATATCAGAGTTTATATATGAAGATATTCTTTCCATTCTCAAATATAAGAGTTAGTTGAGAGATTTTATTTTGTATAAAATTTTAATCTATTTTGTCTCGTGAATTTATAGTTTTCCCTCCAAACTATTTCTCTTTGTAGCATAAAAGTATTTCTAGTGATTGATTGCATATATTAAAGAGGTTTACATCAAATGGGTAAATTCTAACTCAAATGATTAAACAAAGCATTTCAGGAAAATCAATACTCATTTTTTTACAAATAATTAATTTAATTAATTTTTATAATTTGTTATCTAGTTTTTACTTTTAGGATTGGAACAATAATAATAAAATTTTTATCTCACTAAATGAAATTGATTACATGAATCACACGGTACCATTATATTATGTTATATCAGCGACCAAATCTTTAGATAGAATGTTAATTAAAATTATCTCATTCAATAACTTCATTACATACTCTCCAGTTTTTCTCTGCTCCTTTTCGAAAGACTCAAAACTTTGTAACATAAAAGTGTTGGACTGAAATATCTTGTTTTCTGCAGCTGCGAATCTGTTCGAAGAGAAAATCAAACAAATATAACAGCAACGCAGAACCAAACATGAGTTGGAGTTGGCTTGAACGGTGGATGGCGACTCGCCTTCCAGACACTGCATCAGGTGATGAAAGCCGCCATGGCCTTAGTAGTAACCACCAGATATTTACAGTGAGGAAGAGGTTTTTAGATGTGGCCAGGGAAGAAAAAGAGAGCTGTGGGTCCAATGAAGTGCCTTTTCAATTTGATAACTACTCCATCAATTCCACATCTTCACAAGAAGTACTAAAAAAAGATCATGAACTCATTCTTCCACCAGCAACAAAAGAAAAGAACAACCATAAAGGCAGAAGAAGGACTGTGTCAAGGAGGAAAACCGTGCCAAGCTATCATCAATTCCCTGAAGAGCATTTCAAGGTATGAATCTAAGAGGAAATGACATTCTTAATTAATCCCTAAAAGAACAATTGATAATAACAGTGGAAAAATATCTGGTTGAACAATCAATTGTAAATATGACAGTCTCAAATAGTCTCAAAAGTCATTCCCAATGAGTTGCAACTGAGACTCATATTTGCAACCATCTGAATCATATTTACAACTCATCTATTAAGATGTGAATTTACCCTGAAAGTTTTTCCTTAGAAGTGATGTTGCTCCAAAAGTTTTTTTTTTCTTTGGGTTCAATGTTATTTGGAAGTTTCAAAATGTTGCCTCATCTCATTAAAAACCTAATGTTGACTACTAAAAAATTAACGTTTGATTGCTAATATTTTTAATAGTAATGAGGTAACATTGTTCTATTTTATCACTCTCGAGGCAACCTTGAACTCAAAAGCACTTTCAGGGTAACATTGCTCATGAATAAAAAATTTTAGGACAAGTTTGCACCTTAATCCTAAAACCTTCTAGTACCTAACTATTTGGGACCTCACGGTCATTCCTTCATAAATCTAATTTAATGCTGCTGTTAAGGAATTTCTATCAATTTTAAAATCGTCCTTTGCCACGTGGTCTGATCTGAACAATTTCAATAATTTGTAGCCTATCATTATTCACTTCAGCCAACTTCACATGTCCCCTGCTTCAGGGGAATTAATTAAATATCAATTTGTGCATGCCACATAAAAAGGGACATCTTTAAAAAAGTCCTCTTTCTAGGAGACCATCAAAAGTTTCTTCCTTGATGCATACAATTTCCAAGCTGGTGCAGGTAAGCAAAAGAGATGGTTCAAGCGGTGTCAGAAAAGATAACAGGCAATTGGGAAGCAGAAGAACAGAAATGAAATCAAACACTCCTAATTCGTCTTTTGTATTGAAATGAAGCTTGTGTTTATATAGATATATACATATATATAAATAATTGCCTTTCTCTTTCTAGATACGCTATTCCATGATCTTATGTGAGCAATCCCTTTTCAGCATAATAATATCAATTGTGGCAAGCATGGTACTGAAAGCAGAGCCCATGTTTCATTGACAAAGTTGAGGAAGTTGTTTGAGCATTCGTGATTCAATTGGAGTTAAAGCTAGAGTAAAACCGGTAATGATCAAAATAATATAATTTGATTAAATATATAAATATATTCATATTTAACCAAAATAATATTAAAATAAAAAGCCACTAATTTTCAAATGAATAGAACAAAAATATTAAAATAAAAATTATAACGAGTACACTTTTACAAGATAAAAGTAATATCATGTACTACTACAAAAGAGGTATTTTTCGTCTCTCATTTTCATCTGTTTTTTAAAACTGAGAAAAAAAAGCCACTATACTTACATGTTATGGTAGAATAGATGAATTTGTATATACATATTTGTCTGTTATGCTACACTGTAATAAACAAGTATGTAGATATCTACTCATTTGTTAAGCAAACAGATGAAAAAAATTTTACTTTAAATTTTGAATTTTTAGAATGCAGCACCATTTTTTCATCAGATCAAAGTGAGTCATAGCAGCAGTTTCTCTTTTTCTCATTTTCTTCTTCTGTGCAAGCTTTCTCTTCTCCCTCTTCCTCTCTTCTCATGCGATAACTAGTGTTATTCTATTTTCTCCTTCTTGGCTGACAATAGCTCCTCCTCCTCTTTCTCGGGGATGCAACAGCTTGATGACACAATGAATTCCATGACCAGCATCTCTTCTAAATGCCAAATAGCTCTTCCTCTTTTCTCTTGTGTGCTTGACAACACTCTTTCCTTCTTTTTTCACGGCTTTAGCTTTGCAAAAAGCAAAGTAAATTATGTGGTTTGGTGTTGAGTGTTTTGATTGTATGGGACTATTATATGGGTGTTGAAAGTGATTGTTTGGGTGTTTTGGGGTTGAAAATTTTCTATTTAAATTGATTGTTGGTGAATAATAGCTTTTGGAAAGCAATGATAGTGATTGGGAAAATATATTAAGATTAAGAGCATATTAAACTTGTTTAAATATTAATGCACATAAGGTGGTTGTAAAAATGTCCGGGAGAGAAAATTTGTTGGAATAAATTTTAAAAAGGTATAGGATTCTAAAAGTTAAAATATCTATTCAAATAAGTTAGGATGTCATTAGATTTTCTAATTTTAAATTTTCATACATTATATGACTGGGTTAAGGTGTTAAATTTTTTTCCTTAACTAAGCTAATTTAGATGTTATTGTTACATGATTTGGTTATATTGAATTGCTATCATTGTTGCTCTGTTTTGGTTTTGCTTCATACACTTTAGAATTACAAGTTATGGTAAAAAACTGAAAATGTAAATAATTTCACATTTTTTTAAAAAAGTCACTATATTCGTTTGTTCTGACCAAAACAAACGAATATAGTGCCACAGATTCATCTATTTACATATTCATCTATTAGAAATAGACGTCTCATTTGTTCACGTCTCCTTTAAACAAACAAAAAAGGCCTCTAGAGCAAATGAAAATAGGCTTTTTTGTAGTAGTGGTGGCATGTAATTCATACAGTACGTGTGTGCTATAAAACCACAAATGGGAAGCCGGTGGATCTCTACTACATTGTCGTACGTGCAAGTCTTAGGAAGGTCCAATCATTTTATTGATATCCTTTTATTTTGACAATATGACATAGCCATACATCAGCATCTACTATCTTATTAACAGATACATCCTGTGGTCATATTAGATGCAATATAATGAAGTTATCTTAGGAAACCAGTTGTTTCTTATTAAAGTGACATGTGGATCAAAGGAATATAACCTAAAATATACACGCCTATGGTGGTGTCTCCGACATGTCTACTGTTTAATTTCATAAGTATAAACACTATGTATATGGAAAAGGAAAAGAGAGACATGATGCCCATATGGTCATGGCAGAACACCCGGTATAGCAAAAGGGAGAGAAAGAGGAAAAGTAAGAGCCTTGGTGGTGAATTCATGAAGTGTGATGGTAGATGTTTGGTTTCATATCCACCAATGATGAATTAATATATATTTTATTGATAACAAATGCATTATAGTAGGAGAGGGGGAGTAGTTTTTTTCCCCCTTCAAAAGAAGGGGAAATTAGAGGGAAGAACCTAGAGAGAATAATAGTTATTGAAGATGATATTAAAAAGCGTAATTACTAAAAAGGACTAAATACTAAAATATAAATTTGAAAATATTAAATTGTCCTTAACTAAATCTCCTGTCTTTTCTCTCTGACCACTCGTTTTCAATTTTAAATTCAAATTCTTAATTCAATTTAATGATTAAATCTTCAATTCCTTGCATCAGCGCCTCTCTCTCCATCCATTCCATCCCTCTACCATGGTTTGAGTCCTTAAGATCACTAATAATGTCAGTGGTACTGTATAAGCTTCATGACCAACTAATGCAGCAGCTCCAATTGCATTTGGATAATATATTAGGTTTGAGACTCCTCAACTTGATGTGATTGATAATATATATAGAGACAACAATTGTGCTTTCAATCAATTTTTTAAATTCTATCCTGAAAAGGGTTCTCTCTTACTTCTATGATCTCTTTTTTCTAATGTATTTACACTATATCAGAGCTTGAATCCTAACGATTTATGATTCGTAAGTTTAAGAGACTTTCCCAAAGGAGAATATTAATTTTTTTCTAGTGATATATGGGATAATTATTTTTTTTTTTTTTGCCAACATGGGATAGTTACATATGTAGATTAATTTTCCCTAAAGGAGAACTTTTTTTGAAATGAATTTTATGGATTCAAAATGGTTTTTTAACCCTCAAACTCAGATGATAGTTTATATATTTGAAAGGAATTTTTTATTGTGTAAAATTTCATTTTTGAATTTTTTTAATAAAACTTAAAATTATTTATTAAACAAACAGTAAAATTTCTCTGCATCAGTGAATTTCTCTAAAGTAACTAGCATTATTCACTTTATGGGATATATGGGTGCATAATTCAATTATTATTATACTTAATTATTGTTGAAGGAGAATAATGATTAGGAGTAATTTAGGAAAAATGATAAATGTAGAAAATATATCATATATTTAAAACCAAAACCAGCACTCTAATTAGATTTTTTATTAAGAACTTGAGGAGTAACTGTTTTATTCTTAGTGTAATTATTCTTACACATATATAGGATCATGAGAGTAGTTCCATATTTCCCATCTTATTAACTAAAAGTCCTATCAAGCTAAGTATTTGCTTCTTCTCCCTCATGAGGATGGTATGCAATTTGATCACTATACACCACAATAGGGCTCCTTACTTGGAAAGTGCCATCATCCCAAATCAAAGAGGCAGAGAGTATATCCACATTGATTTTTCCCTCCACGGTAAGTTTGTATGACTTTTTCTGCCCCAAAGATGTGAAGCGAAGAACTCTAGGCTTTACTTGAATAGTTAACAAGGCAGGGGCAATGATCTTAGCTTCGTATTTGGATTTAGAGAATCCAACATTAGTCACAGTCCTATGAAAGGAACGTAGGAAGAACGCCAATGACATATTAACTTGGAGGGCAAAGGATGGAAGATTCAAGTCCCCACCATGCTTTTCTTTATCAAATTCTGCACAACTACTTCTGTGATTCGAAGTAATGGATCGAAGTTTTTTATCGTCATAATGAGATTGGCGACACAGGAACTTCACATAATCAATTTCCTTAGCATCATAAACTAAGCCAGGATTCAGTGCCTTCACGGGGTTGATTTGCCCAGCTCCATATGCAAATTCTGCGTCCGGATTCATCGCAGCACTCAAAGGAGTAGCTACAGAATTACACAGCAATTATCAAAATTCATCATAAACACTTTGATACAGGACGAAGAAGGCAAAAGGAGGAAAAGAGAAAAACAAAAGAGAAAGAGAATGTGGGGACAAAAAGCAAGAAACAACTGAAAAAATTAGATCAACAAAGGAGAAGAGAAAAGTCGGCGGAGGGAGAAACTCGGTATACAATATTATATAAGGAGTGTTTAGATATTTTTAGAAGTACTTTTTAAAAGCACCTTTTAGTAAATTAAGACAAACTTCTTTACATATTTATTTCGTATACTGTAAAATTACTTCTAAAACCATTATTTGATTTCTATCTCCAAACACCTTTTAGAGGAAACTCAATATGAAATATTATTTCATTCATAGACATCTACAAAAACTAAAATATTTTGAGCACTATTTATAACCTAGAGGGGGTTTTGAAAACATCATACTCAATTAAAAAAATAATTTCACAAAAATTGAGATAAAAATCTTTTTATATATTTATCTCAAACACTGTAAAATTATTTCTAAAAAACTAATCCAAATGTCCCCTCAACTCTAACTCCAAAGAACTGAGTAGAGAAATTTACGTGCTAGAGCTAAATGCAAATAATAATTAAGAAAACAATAAAATCAACATTAAAATCAAATATTCCCTGACTATTACCAGTTGTCATAAGAGCAGACTTGATTGCAGAAGGTGACCACTTAGGATGGAATGTTTTAACATAAACAGCGGCGGCAGTAACATGAGGGCAGGCCATGGAAGTGCCAGAAATGATATTAAAATGTCTGTTTCTATTGTCACCTTTCACATCTGAGATGGGAGCTAGGGAAGACCATGCTGCTAAAATGTCCACTCCTGGAGCACTTATGTCCGGCTATAATGATTAAAGAAAAATTATATAACACAAAATGATTCAACCATCAATTCATCCTTGCTATAATTAAACAAAAATTAACATGCAAGTGCCTATAATTTCACCCCAATTTTAATTAATGAAGTTCTTATGGTTTTTTTTTATTGGATCCTTATAATTTTCTTAATTATAAAGATCCAATAAAACCAAAATCAAAATCAACTAGATTGCATATTATATATAGATGCAAGAAGAAGATTATGAAAATAATAATATTTTTATTTTTATGTTAATAATAAAA